CCGATTAAACAGTTACGCGCGTTACTTATATGCGAGATGCCTGCATGCGGTGCTTACGACTTAAGGCCGAATCGAATCACTTTCTCTTTTCTCTTGAACGCGAGACGCAACCGATTTTGCGTACACAAGCGACCGGCACCGCCGGTGCTCGTAATGCGAATTGCAAACCGGAATAATACCGTCCGATCCGGAACGTGTTTCGCGTAACGCGTTACACGCTCATGGCGTTGCCGTTCATTGATTCTACTATCCCGATATCATAATCTTTATTTTTATTTCCATAACGATCGTTATTATTAGCATTATATACACACTTAGCTTGCGCAGCTGCACAAAAATGCTCGTACTTAAATCTCCGATGGAATTATAGGTGAAAACTCGGAAAAAATTAACGACCGCCATTGATATCCGGTATATTTCATTATTTTTCTTTGGAGAAATCACGAGACACAAATTGTGTGCGGATAATTAGAGCTATTTCAAGAGCGCGGCAGGTAGCAGTTCATTATCGCGTTTCCTCTAAGAAACATCGAAAATATAGTAATATAACGGTAACATGCGATGTAGCAATCATCGTAGTTAATTATTCTTTTTTTCACTATTTTTTTTTTAGTATTATGATCATCGATGATTCTCGTAACAACGATATGTCTTTAATTAAATCGGAATTGTCAAAATTTTTCTATAAAAATAACTCCAGAGAGAGAGAGAGAGAGAGAGAGAGAGAAAGAGAGATTTAATTAAATATCTTATATTTAATTAAACTATTCTTAAATATTTAATTAAATATTTTAGATTTTGTTTTTGAGAGACAAAATCAATAATATCATGTATATATATATATATATATATATATATAACAAAAAAGAACGAATTTCCACAAATTTTATTGGCAAAATTAAAAATAATTATTATGCGGATCATTGAATTGTCATGGTTTAATTTGAAGTACAGAATCTTAAATGATAAAAATGTGTCAACATCTACCCTTAATTATCCTTTATTCCGTAATAATTCCAGAGTACAAATGTATGACCAGAAGATTGCAATTGAGGAATGAAAAATAATACATAATTGTATAATTAAAGAATAATTGTATTATTAAAGAATAACGTATCGATAAATGTATAATTTAAGAAATTTTCCAGTTCTTGGCGTGCGTCGCCGCGGTTTGCACGACACAGACTCAGGATGGGCCAAAGGGGGCATCGATCCCGATACGAGCGAATCGTTATCAAAGATTACCTTCTCGACCAGGCGGTACCGGACCGGCGTTTCCCAATCGATTTCGTCGACCGATCTCCTTCAAGTAATACTCTGAGCATTAATAATATACTTATAGGGACATACTTAGGAAATATTATACTTAGAGATGTACTTAGATAATAATATTAATCATGTATAGATTGTATAGCATTCAGAAAAGTTTAATAGAGCAGACTTTCAGATTTGCTTTAATTAATTTTAATAAAATTCTTTTCTTATAATTATCTATTCTTAAGTAACACATCAAAATTTTCGTGACATGAGAGTTGACTGATCTATCCTTCAAATAATATCTTAGTCATCAATCATATAATATCGGAAGAATTTAATGAAAATGAATAAGCCTTTCAGGTAGGCTTTAATAAATTAATTTTATTAAATGTCTTTTTTGAAATTTGATAAATGACTATCTATGACATAGTCCGCGAAATCTCTGAAGATTTTTTATTTTTTTCAACGATATATCCATTGAAATATGACCTTGTTGGAAAAATTAGCTGCAACGAATATAAATAAATCGCATACTAAGTGTTCGCATAATCTGACTGCGCGAGTAAACTATTCGAGCTATTGGAAAGGCAGGAAAACCAGTTTGGGCGACGCGCATATCTATTCGAAAGATGCAGAATATAAACCTACACACGCTGTTGTTAATTAGTCTAAACGAGTCTTAAGTTTCGTTGCAACGTCCGCGAACATTGCACCAAATAGGAAGCGCGAAATTATCGACGTGTATTTAAGAATAGCCACAGAATTACGCAACCTAACATATGATTCTATCGCTTCTGGACTGCAGGCATGCAAATTGAACAAGAAAGTCCGAATACCGTTCCACGTGAGCGGCTCTGTAAGTATGTAAATACATGTCTAACGTTGTAAATGGTAAAAAATAAAATATAGTCTTGGCATTTTCACATATTCCACTTTTTGCATTTTCTAAAAAGTAAACTACTACGTCTCATTAAGTGTGATCAATATAATTTAAGCGACTTAAAAATGATTAAGTATCTATGAGAGTTACATGTAAATTTCCTTGTAACGCGTAAGCACATTTAATCGCTAATTGAAAAAAATCGCTAAAATTCTAGACCCCGGGGAGGTCCCGGAGACGACGCGCCCGGTACGTTCCGTCCTCTCCGGCCGGTAGCCACGCCTTCGTTCACGCCACATGTGAAACCGGTGAACGAGGAACCCGAGGAGGAAGAGAATCTGTCACGCGATACCATCCGCGAGGATGATGACTCGCGTGACCAGAGTCAGGAGATCAGGAGCCAGGATAGCGTGGAGGATCTAAGTGAGGAGATACCGCGAGCGGCGCCAAATCCACCCAGGGCACCTCCATCGGCCTCAGGACAGTTGGCGTATCGTCCACCTCAAGTGACACCATCGAGTGTCAGGGTGAGTCCCACGACACCTCCGTCGCCCGTTCAATATCGTCCGACACCTCCGCCACCGCCGCCTATCCAATATCGCCCGACGCAGAAGCCTACGAAGGCCCCGAGGAAACAGATCATCGACGACATCACGTTTCAGCAACCAATCAAGCCGCCGCCCAAACCGGTGAAACCGTCTCAGGCTTACGAAATTCGCGGCAAGAAGCCAGTAGCTCAGGTAGGCCCGCTATAGAACATCTTCCTCGAGACCGTAAATAAACTTCTTGTGGGCTTTCCACAATAAGCTATTACCTAAGCTTATAAAATCTTAAGTCATAAAAAATTGACCAATCATAGTCAATTATTCTCATCACGTTCCGACAAGAGACAACGGATTGAAAAGAAGAATATTACTTTAACTAAAATAAGTTCTTATCTCATAACGAAATAATTTTAATACAAGTGCATGAAGAAGACCATATTCAGTAAAGGCTGGTCAATAATGCTTAATAAAATAAATAAGACTAATCTTGATCAAATATGACCTACTTCATGTATTTGTGTTTGAACATTCCTCGGTCAATTTCCATTTAATATTGGGTGCTTTCCATTTGATGACATACGTCGATACAAGCGTTGTTCTATCCTTGTTGACATTCAGAGAGTGATATAGATAGAACGACACTTGTGTTGACTTGTGTCAATTTGTGTCATCAAATGGAAAACATCCATTGTAAATAATTTTATATAAACAGGAATAAAATATGAATCGCGAATCACGCAATCGAGACATCAATATAATCTAAGGCTACGTTCCAAAACTTCCTCTTCGAGGAAAATTTTACTCAAAGTATGTAATACATGTAACGTACACTACATATATATAACATATGAAGTAAAATCTTCCTCGGAGAGGAAGTTTTGGAACGTAGCCCAAGAATATAAAAAAAAAATTGATAGTTTTGAAATTGAAAGGTGAAAGCCGGAATCATTTGACCGTCATGCTTTTTTTTTGTTTGTTTTGAGATACTTAACGTCGCACAACTTATAAACGCGATCAGATAAAACTTGTTCATGCCCCATTACGCAACGGTCTCTAGTCGAATTTATGAAATGACATGCCCGATATTTTTATGTGCTTATTATAAACGAGTTTTAAAATCACTTCGAACAATCAGAATTCCAAGTAAAATTTTATTTTATACGTTATATACAAAATATCAATAAAAAATCAATGGAATGTTTGTAAATAATAAAATATATCTTAAAATGCATACATTAAAATATTGAAATTATAAATAGGATTGTATTCTGAAATTCGATGCAAATTACAGATCTTCTAAAATAGGCTTTAATGGATTGTAATGTATCATATATAGACATCAGTAAAGAGAAATTTATAAACAGGATTCTCTCTTGGAAAAGATTTTCCAATGTCCGACATAAATAATATTTTTGTATATTTTGTAGATTATTAGGCGATACCGGCACGACAACGCAGACGGTTCCATCACGTGGGGTTTCGAGAACGATGATGGATCGTACAAGGAGGAGACGATCGGCGTGGATTGCATAACGAGCGGTAAGTACGGATACATCGATCCGGACGGTATCCGACGCGAGTACACGTACGAGATGGGAATCAAGTGCGACGAGCAAGACCGGGAAGAGGAAGAAGACGGCTTTGTGGATTATCAAGAAAACAAGCTAGTGCTCCCGGATGGGAAGACCATCGATCTCTCGTCGATGGGTAAGAAGCAGGCACGCCGGCCTCAGTTCCAATACAGAAATTAAAGGAATCGAGACTCGCATTTCGCACATTCGCCATCACTCCTGTCGCATTTAACGCGTAATTGTAATTCATAACGTAAAAAAATCATGCGTTTCTTAGGATAAACAACTAGAGTTAAATAAATAAATTAAGATATCGAGATATTAGCGATACAATTCACATATAATTCTATGTAAGATTATTTAGTGTAAATTAGACTTAATAAATAAAATAATAAATTGAGATATTATAATAACATTATAAATGATCTTATCTCCAAAAGTTACATTGAATTCGAGGTAATTCTCTATAATATAGCTCGTTAAACGAAATTCGTTTAATCTAAATCAATATTGATCGTCAATATTGATCATACAATATTAATTACGATAGAAATACATAAGTGACAGAATTATGTAAGTGAAACGACTTAAAATCGCGAGATTTTAATCCTATACTTAACGGAAATAAAAAAATCATTCACAAATATCTAATTCGCATGATCTTATTTGTTCGTAAAATATTAACTTGGTAAAATTCATTTGTCCCACATTGATTGAAAAGGAATCGAGAGCGAACCGAATTCTATATCCAGGAAACAACAATCAATGTTTTATTTCGTTGAATACATTTTTCGACGTTGAAACTTTATTTCGTCGATCATTATTATATATAATAATATCCACGTCAGATTTTTAACTAGACATTGATACAAGTATATACCGTGTTGTGTACATATCGATGTTGTACCTGTATAGGTTTGAACTTGAATAAAGGTAACAAAACTAATAAATATATACAGTTTACGCGAGTTGCAACAAAGAGTATATTACTCTTCGATATATTGTAACAAATTATTCATAATATAGAGAAAATCTCGTGAGCGTCAGATCTGCAAGATTATGCGTACCGAGTAACGCGATATGATGATCCGATATGACGAATGCAGCAGATATGTTCATCGCGAGCCAAGTAACGTATTATTTGTGTGTGTACATGTGATCACGCTACATTATTTTCTTGCGTCTCCCTGTACAATTTGCGCAGTCGTAACCTGCACTCTTGATCCCTCTATGTGATAGGGCTTACAAAGCGAAATATTGAACAATCTAAGAAATCTAAATGACAATCTACGAAGACTACATACGACGATAAAGGGGAAAAACTCTCAGCTTAATTTTTTTAATGTCCTTGCTAGCAAACGGCCGAAAATACTACTCTTAGATTATCATTTTACACAAGAATAACGCTCTCCATTAAGTTCATTCACCTAGAATATTCAATCATTTCTCTCTCTCTCTTGAATTTAAATTCTTTAGAGAATTTTTTAAATATTTTTTAAATATGTAAATATTTGACAGAAATCAATGAAAATTCAAAACGTCTCGTTATCAAAAACATAGGAAACAATTACTGAAGATAAAATTGACCGGTCCGATTGTGAACAAGAACCCAGAGGATTAAAATAGATCTAGCATTCGCAACAACATTCGATATCGCGCTAAAATCCGCCTGAGCATCGTCGTTTTCCACCACCACGATGCTTAAGCATCGCCTTGGTTCCAACAATAATTTAAGATACGGATTCAACAACGTTTACTTTGTGTTATGCGTATATAGATATATATATGTACACATACATCATCGCATAAATAACAGTCGATCAAAAGCAAAGACATTATTACGCGACAAACATTATTACAAAATATTAACAATCGTTGTTCGGATAAAGCGCGCACGCGGCCTCTTCTTCTTATTAGAATATAAGTTAATACTACGGCGTAGTGTAGATTATTGCCTTGTTACAATTAGAGTACAAAAAAAAAAGAGACAAAAGGAAAGTCGAATATATGTGCGCGGGCGTGGACAAACGAACGTACATACGCACGAGCACGCGCTACGCACGCGCATCGTGCGTGCCATTGACGTTCCATGTGAGAGGAACGTGCGAGAGAAACGCGCCGGAATTACAAAAAGGACTGGCCCCGCACAAAGGTAACGATATGTGTCGATCGATCTAGTCGATCAATCGATGTGGTCCATCCTACCATGGGCCCTTTTCTCTCTTGGATGTCTAATACGCTGGACTGGTTACAGTGGACACTTGTTTCGGTGTGTGCTGGCCTTGTGCCAACGCCCCGCTCTTTACCGCCTTAAACTTCAGCCAAGCGTCGTAACCGTATGCCACCATTGCGCAAAATCCGAAGAACTGTAAATAAATTTCAGTATTAAACATCAGAAGAGTATATTCGTTTGCTGACTATTTTGAAAAGAATAAAAAAAGCTTTAAACATATTTACAGCAAAAAAATATTTTAAACGATAAACATTTATATTTTTAAAAATTCCTTATTTTACAATGACTTATGTTCTTTCTTTATGAGAGAATTAGAGTGTCTTTGTCGACGTTTTTTTGACTTGCGTTGACTAAGGCATTACAATGCTATTCAAAAGATGTACTAAAAAATTCTTACCGCAGCAACGCCGAAAGCCTCTGTGTAACGCGCGAAGTCAGCTGCCAAGGAAGCGGCCAGCAAATAGAAAAGGGTCCATACCGTGCAGAATATAAATTCCTGAAATTACATGCATCAATTTGTAGCATGCAGATGAACATCTTCAATCGATAGCGATAAAAACTGAGTTCGTGCGCGGCTGAGGTTGTAAAACGCCTCTTCTGTACATCGAGATGTTACACGACATTACGATGCCTACGTAATATCATATAACCTCGGCCTTAAAATTCTTAAAAGGTCAATCTGATTATGAACGATCTTTGGCCCAGCATATACGACCACCGCTCTTGTTATATTGAGACTTCTTGTTATATTGCGATCGATCGTTCACCCGTGAGTATAAAAATCAGAGCAACGGATCGATTTTTACATTCGTGTATAAACTTTCTAGTGGGCTTTCACTCCCTGCTCTTATTACACGTGTGTATCCGTGTTATACCAGTATTATCGAATACGACCTGTTCTATATACTACTCCCTCTTATTTGCGTTTATTTTAAACGCGCCTTTGCACAAACAAAATAAAGAATCTTACAGTCAAGAGGTAGTCGATTAGCAACACGATGCGAAGCACGATCAGTGACTTACAATTTTAAGCCAAGGGATCCTGGCGAATTTCTCCACAATGTGGAACAGGTAGAGAACGAGAAGGATGCCCGTGAACCAGAAGCCGCCCATGGCCACGGTATTGAACCATCCTCCCCGGCTGTGACTGCTGTGTACCGACACCGTTATGCATATAAATCCTAAGAGATTTAGTACCTGAAAGAAGACCCCAGCATGATTATCATTCTTGAAAATTCTTCGCGCAGCTGAGCAAGCACGCATTGTGCACAAATACAAAGCGCTTCGCGGGGCTCTTATAATCGTCGTGAGAGATTTAAGAATCTATTATAGCCCGTGACGCAACTGGCCTTACACCGCCCGCTGTAATTCACGGTAGATATGCATTTTGTACACAATGTTCATGCTGCACATTTAATGAGCCAAGCGTTAAATGTCTCCTTTAATTTTCTAATTCTTGATCATTTTTCGACTAATTAATATTTTTACCTGCAAGCATTTTTTTTCTATAAATTCAGAGACTCAAATATAAGAAGTTTATATTGCACAATTTAGTATCTTTCACATTGAACTTTAATAATTAATTTAGGATTCAAAATCTCTTAATAAACGGTATACTGAGACTTGTCGAGCAACTCACTTACAAGTGACTATTAAATCAAATACTAAAAGCACTTCTCGTAAATCGCTTAACAAAATTACTGTAAAATTATACAAGCGAAGGATGAATGTGTGTCACACTCACCACTTGTACGATTTTTAGCATGCCGGGCAATGTCCTCACATATGACGGATCGAACCGTATATTGGGCTGAGTCGTCGTGGTAGTAGTCGTCACGGTGGTCGTGGTGGTGTGCTGCCCTGGGAAACCTTGATCCATCGTCTCCGGTTACTCTAAAACTGTAACGCAACGAAAACAACATGTAGTAAGTAATGGATATCTCTACTTGCTTCGCGAGTCGCCGCCACCTGATCTGATACGTACGACAGCGATTCTTTGTAAGGGTACGTCTCAAATGAAATAAATGAACGACCGAGCATCGATCGACCTGCGCGAAAGCAGGGATGAGGAAAAGATGGACCTTAAAATAAAGATCCGGTGACGTTTGTCAAACGCGAAGTGTGTTGAAGTAAATTTGCGATCACCGAGCGAATGATTGAAATGCGCTCTTCTTCTCAAGCCTTCTGCTTTCCAAAGATTTCATCTTGAGAATTAGATAAATCTAGTGTGAATAAATAAACGTATCGATACTATCGATCTTTAATTAAAAATATTTTATATCGGGAAGAATAAAGACTGCGAGTAAGTGGTATTTCTATCAATGTAAATTTAATTTTAACTTTTGGTTTTACTTACTCTTCATCTTTTTCTAATTCTAAAAATTAGAAAAAAAGTAAGTTGAACAAAAATTAATCCAGTCTGCAACCTGGCTCTTTTTATCCAGTCCAAGTTTTTTTATTATTCTAAAATTTCAGAAAATATAAAAAAAATTCAGGATTATTTTTCAATATCTCTATTATATTATCAAATAGGTTTTTGTTGATTATTTTAGGGAAGAAAACTGACTTTCGCCCTTTTCTTTATTTCAGAGAAATTTGGGAGTGAAATTTTGCTTGTGTAAAAAAACCTAGATTGTAGACGGAGGGTTAATCTATAATATTGAAGAAAACAGGCATTGGACCGACCACTTGAGATGCAAAACTATTTCTGCAGAAAAAAAACATTTGAAGGACATGCTTATGTAACTTCTGCATCGGAGATGCTCTCGTGCGAATGTCGGAGAAAATAGCACACGTTCTGATATTTACTATCCAGCGCTATTGATTATGCCCAAAGCTTGCTGTCTGTTTATAATTAAACGCACGAATTGCGATACAACGCCGTGTCTCGCAAATATACCTTCGTGTATTTGCATCTAGTCGATTGATGACTTCCTTTGCTGAGAACTATTCGTCATCTACTCCTGACAACGACAAACCGACACAATCGGCTATTTCATCGTAAACATTACATTAACTATCCATATCATCAAATATTAAACTTTATTAAATTCTTATAAATAATTATATATATAGCTTGTAAATAACAGATAGTTGAATAATAAATATATATAGCTTATAAATAACAGATAGTTGGATAATAAAGTCCTCTGATTGTAATAATAAAAAAACAGACATATGAGATAATAAAAAATTTTATATATGTTATATTTTAATATAGTCCTTAGTGATATCGAAACACTTCATACATCTTTCATACAAAACTTCAAAATATTTTTTTAAGTCCACATTTTTTAAAATCCTATTTATAGCAGTTGTTATATTCCTTTAATGATCCTCAAACACCTTGAAAATATTTCTTTATCTTTCATGATATTTTTGAGCTTTCGGAACAACATGTTAAAAACAATAATTTTCTTGTGATACGTTATTATGTAATTTAATTGGTCAAGAAAGAAGTTAAGATTAACTATTCTATCAGAATCTGGTTTTTTCGGCTTTCATATTGTTTCCTAAAACCTCAAAAACATGAAACCTGAATACCTTTCAAAGTCAAGAATATTCTGAGAAATGTGATGATGCTGATGTGATTCTGAATAGCATTTCAACTACAGACTTTAATAAATATTTTGAAGCTTTGTATCAAAGAAAGAAAATGTGTGAAGTGTATCAAAGAAAGAAAATGTACGAAGTATATATCATAGAGAACTACTTTAAAAGAGAAAATATGTATCTGAGATGTTTTTGTTTTTTCATTGCAGTCTGGAAACTTTATTGTCAGACCGTGTATATTGTCTCATACACTCTTTATTATATGTATATAATATTATTCTACTTTCTCAGACCTTTTTCAAAAACCAAACGATTGATCACATTTTTATAAAGTTCTCAATTTTATTTATGCAATTTTAGACTTTTTCTTATTTTCTTTATATTTCTAATTATAAAATAATTTTTTTAATCGAATTTTCGTATATTATTTTTTTGACAATATCAGAGAACATTTATTTATATCTTTATCAATTTTTACTACATCTTATTTTACTGATCTGTTTATCTTTCGAAATGCTCGCATTATAAATAATGCTATTATACAGGGTGTATCTGAAATAATGCCCACTAATTATATAGCTATTCCTAATAAAAAACTGAGTCGAAAAGTCCTTTAATATTTTGCAATTTGCGCAATATTTTTTTTAATCATCTAATGAGCAAAATATCTAAAATCAACATATAAGACAATTAAGATATCTTTGAGATTTCTTTAAAAAACATCTTTAAAATATTTCACAAAGACCATTGAAAGATTGTCTTATACATCGATTTTATCCATTTACTCAGCAATTTTTAGAAATTCATATTTCATTAACTATTGTGAAAATATTGCAAAATGATAAAGGACTTTTCAATTTAATTTTTTATTAGAAATAGCACTGTATGATTAGTGGGCACTATTTCAGATACACCCTGTATAATAAAATAAGACATAAATCGCAGACATCTAAAAGTTTCAGTAATACGTCAAAGCATCAGTCAACTCGATGCATACATGAAAGACACACGTATACTCCATTTAAACATATTCTTCCTCATTTCCCGCACTTAACGCTCAATTAATGTCCTCTGTGAGATTACGCGCAGGAAAGAGAGAGAAGGGGGATGCTAGTCGCTGGAGATATGTACCGCAATCAACGTCGAGAAACGGGGAAAATGAAAACGCCATCGCGGATCGATTACGAGAGCTATCATGCAGGCGTAAAAGGCGTAAACTCGTTTACGTCGACGATAACGATGCGGATGATCGACGCGTCTGGTGATCCCAAAGTTCTATCGCGACGTCACGTCACCGAAATTATTTTCCAAAAATCGTTCAACGGGATGTTATTCTAGAGCGATTATTCTACAAATCTGTTTTATGTGGCTAAAGTAGTGTACTTATACTTTGGAATTTAAGTATAATGAGATAAGATATACACTGTTCAATTCATAATTATAATTTTATTGGGTCATCTAAAAAGTATCCGCAGTTTTTTGTCACTAGATGTGTGTTGATGGTCATATATCTAGTGACAAAGTACCGCGGATACTTTTTAGATGACCCAATACACCCAATTTTTGAGTTATTTTTAATTCATTTCTGTAAGTCGCCACTGTTTCCATATATTGTTAAATTAACTAAAATTAATGAAATTAAATAATTTAAATCAAGAAAATATATTATTGGGTCATCTAAAAAGTATCCGCGGTTTTTTGTCACTAGATAGTGTTGATGGTCAACACATCTAGTGACAAAAAACCGCGGATATTTTTTAGATGACCCAATACATTTGACTCAAATTTAGTTTATTACTTACTAGGTGCACACATAAAAGTAACACGTTCATTAATATGGACGTGTTACTTTGACACTAACTACAGAAATGGATTGGAATCGATTTGCCATTGTTCCTTTAATATCTGACAGTGTTAACGTTTGACGTTTAACAAAAGCGAGAAAGAAAATTTTAGTGCAGGGATAAAACAGATCTTTTGAGGTAAAAAACAGATCTTTTCTTAAACGAAAAGCAACATTTGTGAGCGAACCGTGAAAGCGTACCGTTCGTCTGAGAGATCGCAAGCCTCTCGAAGATGCTCTCGGGATTCGGGTTACAGACCGCGGCATCCCGTTTATTATGTCACTCGAGACGCGTGCCGCGGGAATTACTTAATCTCGCAGCGTGAGGTCATCCCGCCTGGAAATAGACGGTGACAGTTCGTAGCGAGCGACAGCGTGAGGTGCGGCTGTGCACGTGGTCGTTAAATCCTCCCACGATGCGGATGGGAAAAGATGGGGCGAAAACGCTTATAAATTCGTACAACGCGGCAAGCATCATGTTTTATCGAGCATGCAACGCTAATCCCTAAAATCTCCGGAATTTACCGTTAATATGTAATTACATAATAAATAAAACATCATTAACGTCTTATATTATTACATCTTTATAATAAAAAAATTATTATTTAATAACTTGGCGTACATGCTGAATTAATTCAGAGATAAGAATTTAATTAATAATTTATAGTCAATAAAATATTAATATACACACATACACACATCTCATTATCTTATAATATATTATTAGGTGTTGGAATTAATTCGTAGCGTTTTTAATGAAAGAATGTTATTTATTTCACATGAGCATTAAAAAATACATTAATGAAAGTACTTCCCATCACTTGTAAAACGCTACGAATTAATTCCAACACCTAATATTATAATAAAAAATTTATTTTTTAATAACTTGACATGCATACAGAATTAATTCGGAGAAAAGAATTTAGTTATATTGAGTATTATCAATATTATATTAACAGGAGATTTATGTTATCAAAAAACTTTAAAAAGTTAAATTTACTCCAAACTATCGCTGTTCTTTAACATGTAACACAACTAATTATCATTTTAAATCTTTTAAAAAAAAATTCACTTCTAGTCTGGTATTGCATTATTAATGACGCATATATGAATGCATTTATGAATTCCACATTTCATACTTCATCGATGAATTCCGTTATATTATTATTCACGCGTCATAAGCGTACGTAACGCGATTCTTTTTGCCATCATCAGAATAAAATTACAGTGCCATCATCAGAATGAAATTATAGTGCATATCGGCGAAACTAACTTAATGACAGAAACGACGATCGATTAAACCAATAAAAGTTTCGCTTAACTTAGTTTCGGCGAAACTTTTAACTATATAATTCATTCTACCTACGAAATCTTGTTTAACCGGATTTTTTTATAGCTTGTGAAAAAATTTATCTTTCCAAATAAAAAATTGATGACAAATAAATCACTGATGTAATCACAATTATTTAAAATCAATTTCTGAGACCTATTTTTAAAAACAAAATTTTTCGAATCGCCTAATGTTTATGTCATATACACAAAAAAATACAAAATATAATATTATATAATTTTATATTTTATTTTTGACTATGAGTTGGCGAATTGCAAAAAAGAACTTCACACTAATTATGTAGAAAATTTGGTACCAATGAACACAAAACGTATACACATGACTCAAAAATTTTTATGATGTATCAAAAGTGTAAAACTTGTGCTCACACAGAACACCTTTAATATACACATCTTAACTAAAAAAACTATCTATTATTATTTAAGTCATGTGTACACTGAAAAAAATTATTAAATTTTATTAAATATTTGTTTGAATGATACTAATGAAATATTTACTAAATGTAAATATATATTTATTTAATTTAAGGATAATTTTTTACTTTGAATAAATGTTTATTTACTGTAAATAAATATTTCGTTAATACTATACAAACAAATATTCAATAAAAGTCAGTAATTTTTTTTTTCAGTATATATAGAACATTTTTTTTTATTCACCACATTATAATATATATAAAAACCAATACATTTCACCGAAATCTAATTTCCCATGTAAATAATACTGGGTATCCTTTATAAGTGAGCCACAGGTTGCGTATCTCACTGAATTAAATTTTATCGGGAGTTATATTTAAAAAATTTAGATACACTTCCAAGTAACACACGGCCTTATGAAAGATTGATTGACGATTAAGTTAAGCGAGGTTAATTAAGTTGGCTCGAAGGCACTCCAAATGAGAACCACGGATCTTAAAAGGCCCGAAACTACGTCTTATTTCGCAGCTGTAAGGAGATATCAATGAATATCGTAGAGATGGAACATATGCATAAACACGTGTGGGTGAAGAACTAATATTGTTGTTGCAAGAAGATACGGAATACTAATCTAAACGACCCACTCGAATGGAGACGTTAAAGTTCGACGAACGCGACGCCATATCGGATGTCCTATCCTAAAGATCGATCAATTTCGAAAAATCTGCTTTCTTTCTCTCTCTCGTTTTCATAAAACTCAATAATTAAACTGTCAGAACTTTTCTAGAATTGTAATTGATTTACGTAATTTATTAGAATGACACTTTCATGATTCTTTAAAAGATGGGCGAAAGGGAGGGGCATATATAATCCGATTTTATATTTAAATATTAACGATCTGGAATTTATTTAGACAGTCATTTCGTTAATTGAATGAAATTTTTCATGTTCATTTAAAAAGTCAGACTTAACATAACTGTAAATTTAATAATAAAATATTAATCAATTTTATCAATAATTTTATTAATAATTTAATAGTGAAACTTAATAATAACTTTATTGAAATACAAATGATACGAAAAATTTTATATGAAATAAAAATATTGTGCGAAGAGCTGAGCTTCAAAAAGTAAGCAAATAATAATATTACTATTTTTATTTGTCTAGATTTTTATTTGAGATAAAAATATGCCGCCTTCGAAAAGGTTTCAAGAATCGTCGCATGATTAATACTTTCATTTAGTGACACAAATCGACACAGATATCGTTCTATTTTTGTTACTTACTGGAATGTTAAGTAAAATAGAATATCTATGTCGACTTGTATCTTTAAATAAAGCACTCACATTGTCTCGAATTAATCTAACATTGTTTCAAGCATCGTTAAATTCATAATATCAAATTATATCCAATTTGAGTTATTTTTAATAATATCTATAAGTCGTTAACTACATCTACTCAATATATCATTAATTTGAAACTAAAATGGAGTTAAACAATTTAAGAAAAAAATGTATAAACTTTTAGTACACACGATAATTTCTCGACTGATAATTCACGATAATTCACGATAATTAGACTACACGCAATAGGTTATTCGTGTCTTAAGTTAATTTTCATCACCTTAATAAATATACAAAAATTATTAAATGATTCTTACACTTTAACATCTTTAGAAAGTATTTACGAGGTTGTGTATTCAAAACAATTATATATAAATGTTATAACTAATTACTTGATACTCCAAGTTTTTCGAAGAAAAAAAATGTGTGTAGGACGCGAATGACCCAATCGTGTGTATTAAGAATTAAATTTGATTCAAATTTAGTTTATCATTTACTTATAAGTGCATACGTTAAGGACGATGTTTATCTTGACATTAATCACAGAAATGAATTAATTTACATTTTGACTCAGACGGAAGTTGGAAATAACAAAATGTTTAACTCAAGGAACAGAATTGTCACTACTCCTTCAATATTTAACAGCGAGGAATATCTCGCGTTAATTGAACGTATAAACGTATACTAGACGCGTCACTCGTGCACGGGCGCGTAACGTAATTTCCCTAATTGCGATCGAGCGATGAAATTGTAACGTAGACAAATGCAAAACGTCACAAGCGAGTTCTTCACAACACAGATTCCACTCGCGATGCAGCGAGACTCACATGAGAGAGAAAGAAGTTTCCGTCGATCGTCCTCGTTTTCGTCAATCCTCTTCGTCACCCGAATCGGTTGTGAAAAGCTGTCAAAACGATATGTCTCACTCAGGCGAGATGAAAACGGAGTGAGACGGTCGCGTCTACGTTACGCGTTAAATTAGTGTGAATATCGACTAGATTGTGCGTTGCGTCGCCTCGTGTCAATTCGCGTCGATTTCGTGCTCCGATCATTCGAAGATCCGAGGAACGAGAACGGTGCGATTCGGGCGTATTCGCGTACTCGCGAACGTTAATTCCCTCGAGCGGTGTGAAGGCGGTCGCGAAACGCGCGTCGCAGTCGTCACAGATTTTCGAGCAACGAACTTTTTGTTATTACCTGTTCCACCTGTTACTGCTCCTCTTCTTTCTTCTCCACTTATATCGTTTAACCCCTTTTGCGAATTGTCACGGCGACAGGCGACACTACGCTTCCGTTTTCTTCTTCTCTCTCAGAGACACTCGATTCCAACATCTGATGAACGTTTCTTCCCGACGCGCACCCGAATCTCTGGCTTCTACTTCGCGTCCCGAGTCCCGGCGTGAGTAGTTGAATGCGTGAGTCGCGTTCACCCCTCTTTCTCTTCCTTCCTTCATTCCTGTCAGGATCATAGTGGAAGTGTAAGGAGTTCCGCGCAATAAAAGGAACAGGGAACATAGAATAGAGAATAAGAATTTCAACCTATCAGAATCTATGTATTCCACGATACATGATTTCTGATAGGTTGAAATTCTTATTCTCTGTTCTCTGTTCCCTATTCCTTTTATTGTGCGGAGCCCCTAAAAGATGTGCTCTTGCGCATGTTCAACATAAGAAGAGCGATATCCAGAAGCCGTCATATTGCCGCGGTTATTTGAAGTTGACGCGATGTCATTATATCATTATGACATTATAGGTCTGTTTTTTATTGCTACACTCTGAACCGGTGCAATAAGTTGAAATGAAACAAATGTATATTTGTTTGGTGCAAACTTGGTCGGGCCGAAAACGCTATATATTGAGTTCTTTCCTTTGGAAATCGAAAAAAATGTAAATTGCTGCATCCTTTTTTTTGGAAACTATTTGTACATATTTTTATTTAACACGTACACATATCCGCAATACGTTACTTCAAAGTTACTGCGATGTAAATGTTTAAAATGGCCGCATCTGGTTATATAGAACGGTACGAAATTCGTCTCGAAAACGAGCACACTTTTTATACTTCCACTATGAGGATAAAGCGGGAAGCACAGATTCTTGCATAATGCATAACACATAAGACATAAGAAATTCAGCCAATCAGAGTTCTTTATTTCATGGAAAGGAAGGAAACGAAGGACTTTGATTGGTACATTTTCTTATGCATAACGCATAACATATAAGACATAAGAAATCCAGCCAATCAGAATTCTTTATTTCATGGAAAGGAAGGAAACGAAAGACTTTGATTGGTACATTTTCTTATGCATTACGTGTTATGCGTTATGCAAGAGTCTGTGCTTCTCGCTTAACTGACTAAACTAATCTTAAAATATACAAAGACGAGACTCGTTCTCATATTAACAAAAGAACTTTTGCGAACGCATCAAGAAGATCGAAATAAGTTTTGGAATTCATTGAAAGTGCGTTCATACCGTTCATACGTGAGTATTTTGGTGAGTATTTTTTACAGTTGAATTTTTATTCAACTATCTTTTTTTAAAATCTCTGATTAATATTTGGATTCTTAATTCCAAATAAGACACTGCTTGTCAATAGCTTAAGTAAAACATTACATACATTTCCTGCTCTACTGCTATGTCCTATATATCGCATGAATGAAATGATCATATTCAGTTCATATTTTTCCATTCATTTCTCTTGTAAACTTGTAAATTTCAAAATCATAATTTGAAAGTCTCATTACTTTCGAGTTTCTCGTAAATTATTCAAATATGGGGAAACTACTTTTTGATTGGAGTATATTATGTGAAGAAATAATCTACGTAGCGATAGGAAACTGTAATTTACAATTTTCTTTACGAGTTGGGTAGCTACATTTACTGCGTCTATGATCGCCACATGAACAAATGTCATAAGGTTCGTTGTGGCCGAATTTTTTATATTTTTTATCTTTTTTCTCTATCTTTTTCTCTACGATTTCTAATTAATACATCTGTCTTATTTTAAACGCAGGAAATACTTAATAGTGTATTGCAAAGAGCAGATACATCCCACATTTTTATATTCTACACATAGAAGAACCTAGGTAGTAGTATCTGGGAGCAAAGGACATTCATGGCATACGTAGTGATGCAAAGTAACGAGGTGGGGAGAGGGTCAACCAGTGGATGACGGAGCAGATTGCTCGGAGTCCACGACAGCTGAAAAAGCAAAAAGAGACAGTCAGTCGCACGCTGAAAACTTTCGCAAGAAGACGATATACGTCTTCCTTACTCAAGAGGTTAGCTCAGTGCGATGGTTCTAGGTAACGTCGACTACCGATAACCGAAATTGAGACGCGATGGCAACAGGTAAGCGACGCAGCATCCACACATCGTCCGGGAACCCCGGCTCGTCTGGTTACTCTGGCAGTCCGCGTTCGAGCAGCCGGATGAACTTCCGACCGAGCAACACACAACAGGAGGATCGTGGTGGCACTCGACCGACCGCAGCACCGAGTTCGATCGGCCTTATCCTGGTCACCATGTTGCTGCACATCTGTAAGAAGTCCCTGCTGTTCGACACCCGGCTCAAAGTGGCCATCTACTGCGGCACGATATTCATCGTTTCCCTGATCGCAGACTTCATTGCGATGCCGCGCACCTATTTCTCCAGATCCGACAATGCCCTGAATCAGTATTTCGTTAAGTGGGGCTGGGGCTGGCTGCTGTCCATAATTGTACCCTGGGTCGTTTTAACAGCGCACACGCTGGGTTGTGGCCGTCGACGGATTCTGCTGAGACATTTGGCCCGCGTTATACTTGCCACTTGTGCCTGGTTGATCTGGACAAAGCTGTTCAATTATATTGAAACCAACTATGGCAGATGTCTGGGCACCCGTGACATTCACGTGCAGTCTAAGGCAAAGTGTCTACAGTCAGGTAGATTCTGGAGTGGTCTTGATATATCTGGACATACATTTATTTTAATTTATTCAAGTCTCATCCTTGCTGAAGAAGGTTCCTCTCTGGTAGGATGGGAGGGTATCAAGGATTTGATAATGAGAGAAGAGCACACGCGATCTGTGCCAACTGAGACCAGTACTGGCCCATTGCGTAATCTCTCAGATGATGATCTAGGGTTCTTGAAGAAGGCTCACCGGGCACTCACGCCGTATTTACGTGGTCTTTTCGTGGCAATGACGTTGCAGCAGCTACTGTGGGATATCATGTTAGTGTCAACAATGCTTTACTATCACATCATGATCGAGAAATTCCTGGGTGGCGCAGCTGCGGTCATTACGTGGTATGTTACATATCAATGGTGGTACAAGCTGCCCAAGATTGGCCTGCCAGCACCTGGCGATGGTCTCTTTAAGTACAACGAGATAAAGATTAATCCGGAGATCAATGCCAGGGTGAGACGTAGTACACTGAACGGCACCAAACAATGCAAGAGCCCTCAGAATTGAATTCGTCGTTCAGACAAATGGATCTCGATGCATCTGTTACGAGAGGATAAAAACGTCCTCAGTGAACGTCACATTGGCACTCTTGTTTCTTTGATATTTAAAGTGCAATTTGGTGATCGCGTAGCATGAACCATCTTTTACATAGGAACTGAATATTCTGAGAATATCCAAACAGCACTTATAATATCTTATGATTTACGAAATTTCCATTTCTAGATACTTAAATAATTGAAACGTTGCACCGTGGCGAATATAAAAAATGTATATACGTATAATATTTAAATAAGTAATCTGGAAATATATAGGGCTCTCTTATGTTTAGTACAAAGATCTATTCGAATATAAGAATTATAAAAAATATAATTTCATCTGAAAAATACATACGGGTGCCTTCCTTCAGTTTTCTATTCGTAAGCAAAGAATTTCAAATACGTATACATTGGAATTTGGGCAATCAAGTTCGTTTAAACTTGGAATGATTTTAAGTTCTACTTTGCTTTCAAATTATTTATAATTATAGGATAATAAACAGGAGTATGTACCTGTTTTTTCGGTTCTGGAATGTTGTTAAGAAAAAAAAGACACATTATTTATTTGTATAGAATTTAAAGTCGGTGTCTTTGATAACACTCTTTTGTTTTGTACTTACTATTTAATAAAGACTGTTGTTAACAAAGCGTCTGTTTTTCTTAAGTTAACAGAGTGTTTACGACATGAAATTAACATAGTTTATATGCCATGCTATATTTATACGGAAGAAAAGTACAAAATATATAGTTCTTATTATGAAATCTTTCTTCCTCATGAGTAGTCACAATCGCTGTATATTTGAGAGATAATATATTCCCTGTTATTCGTAAAATTATTCTTCCGCATTGTTAGACGAAAGATCGTCTAATATCGCAGGTCACTTATCTTTATTGAATGCTTTTAATTTGGCAATAATGAAAGAACCATGTTTATAAATTGTGTCGTGAAAAATAACATTTGTTTAAAAAAAGAAAACAATTAGTATATCGTGAAATATAACGAAACAGATACATAACTTGCAAAATTTATCCTTTTGTTACAGATTGAACCTCCTTGTCTATTAATGAAAAATAATATAGCACATATTTCTGATTGATTACTACTAAATTGTATTAGCAAAATCAACATCTGCTTATTTTGCAGAAAGTAATATTAATTTAGCAGCACTGTGTATAATAATTGTAGCAAAATGAATATTGTTGATTTTACTTACGAATATACAGGGTGGGCCATCTATTGGTACGTTTTTAAAAATGCGATCAAATGAGCATACATTGATATTTTTTATTAATTTTTTTTTTGTTGTGAAGCTAAAAGTATCCGCGTCAAGAATGAAAAACGATTTCGTTCATGTGGCTCCCTCTACTGGCCTTACAGTATGCCATTCGGTCACCCCAATTATTAATGACATTTTGGACTATTGTTTTTCAAAGCTGGAATTGTCTCACACTTTGGGCCACAGCCTCAATATTCTCGGGTGTGCGCACTGTCCGAGCTCTGGGACCACTTCTGTCATCCACTAACATCCCTTTCTCACGAACTTTCCTCACCAATTTGCGTATAGCTCCTTCGGTGCTCCATATTTCTTTTCAAAATTCGTACAGTTTCGGCGACACAGCACTGACTTTGAAAATAAGTTTTTAAAATTTCAAAACGCTCTTCAAGAGAAAACATGTTGTTTCGTGCCGCGGACGGTATGACTAATAAACTGTCAAAATTTCGGGTCTGTAGCTCGTTCGGTGTTGCCATACGACGAAATTCAAAAACGTACCAATAGATGGCCCACCCTATAATTGAAGAATAATTTTCATATTTGGCAACATAGAGATCTTCGATAATCCGCTATAGATGTTTAATATGTTGATGTTAGAATAAAAATAAAGTACAGAATATATATTTATACAGACACGACAATTTACATCGGTTAATATCACTTCCCAAATCTGTTTTCTGTTTTAGAAAAATTATAACACATTGCGTAATTATATTCCTTACGCGCATATGTGCTAACAGAATTCAATTAATTAATTATTAACACTGGATAATTAACAATGCATATATGCACTTTCAAATGCAAGATAACTTCCTATCTTACGCATAATATATTTCTTATGTTTTACATTTTACATAAAAATAATCACTCGAGTGTTATTAAAACAAAATCACGGTGAGACTGTACAATATCAATCATTACATTTAAACGTCTATCTAAGAAAAAAGAAGTCTAGTGAAGAAATAAAATGTAAATAATAGACTCTACCTTGTATTGTAAAAATAAGAACTTATATATACCACCACAATCTAACAGGCCTCACATATTTCGTTATTTCGTGGTGATGATGGCAGCTAAATTATACAGTGTACTTAGATAAACATTTAATACATACGTATTTATCCGCACTCACGAACAGAAATCGAATACAAAGATAATTTCGTTAGCAACTGTATACCGATATTGCGTATTTTTCTATTTTTATAAAACTTTTCAGTTGGATTTCAGTTTATGTTTTTCAGTTGGATTTGGATTCAGTTTAGATCGATATAATCATTAAAAATGTATAAGAGAATTTCATAATATCAGTATGTAATATCGATATTATATATCGACATTACAATTATTAAATACATTACAAAAAAAATCACAAAAAAGGAAATAAAGAAGAACTTTACAATTAATTACATTATACTATTCTTTATCTTTCAACAAATGGACAAATAATCTGTAATTTCAATGAGTTTAGTTGTCATCAATAAGTATGATACATCGTTAAACATCTTTTTCATAAAATACATATCACAGCGTACTACAAATCTATTTAATTGGACAACGCTAAGGAAATAATTTTTCTCGAAAAGTTATTTCTATATCGGTATACATATGTTGTGTCGAAATTTATGTCAATCAATTTTTTTCATTCACATCTATATATTTATTATACTGTTTTCAATCCCTATTCATGAAAAGCGCACGCTATTGTTAATCGAGTCGATTTAAACCTTCGACCTTTTACGCGCAATCGCATCTTCCACGGCCTTTAGTTGCTTTAATAATTCCTCGCGTCGTGAACTCGCCTTCTTAGCGGCTTTAGCTGCCGCCGCGGCCACTTGCGCCTTGTTGTCGATCAACGGCGGTGACTCAATACCCCGCTTTTTACCTGCCATAAGTGCACTGCGGTCGATCTTTTTTACGGCTGTAGCGTTGCTCGTGGGCTTCAGCGTTAATTTAATCTGCTGCTTCGCGCCGCTCAGCTTCAAAGCGTCGATGCCTTTGGAATCCTTGCGTGGTATCGGCGGTGTCGAACCCTTTCTTCTACGTGTCTCGCTGGAGGACGACGAATAACTTGATTCGCTGGAGTCGCTACTACTTCCACTGCTCTCCGATCCCGAACTACTATGAGACGATCTGAAACGTATTTTTTTTCCTTTCCTTGTTCCTTTATTTTTATACAATATTAATAAACAACGCAACCAAGAAATATCTTCTAGATTAGATTTGTTAATCGAATGAGTTTATAATACTAACTTTGTTATATTATTAAAATAAGTTTTTCTTAAATTTTGCACACGTATCAGCGCAAGAATTAGTAAGAACATCAAAAAATTGAGAATTTTTTGAAGTTATACCTTTTACTTTCAATTTAACTACTTGATTAATAAGAGTCATCTCTTTTTACCTAGATCTAGAACGACTTTTAATGATTTTAGCCACAGCAGCTGCAGCCATAGCAGCCTTTTGCTCCCTGGCTTTGTCGTGATGACGATGAGACGATAGTGGACTTGGGGCAGGTGGATTCAGTCCGGCCCTTCGATGCAGCGTGCCCGTTGGAGAGATAGAACCTTTGGGTGGACGAGGAGAGGGAGCGGGAGGATTCATTAGCATGGCACCTCGTTGAGGCGTGGCTGCGGGGACAGCCGGGGGATTCGAAGGAGGTGAAGTAAGAACAGTGGTCTTGCTTTTGCCAGTAGACCGAGTTCTAGTCGGAGGGGAAGGTGAACGAGACCTGGATAGGGAGTCGTAAGAACTGTAGCTAGAACGACTGGAGCTACGGCTAGAACTAAAAAGACGATACTCCAATACGTTTTTATACATATAACAAAGTAGCACGATAAACACTTTGAAAAAAATGCAGGCAACGCATTCTCGACTATCTTCATTTTCTCTTTATCTCTTCATGTGAGAAATATTATTGAATGTATTCTCAATAAGTCATCTTCAGATCTTCAGAGAATTTCTACATATAAAACGCTTCTTTGTAAGACTCTAATATTATCAATCGCATACGAATATAAATAATACCTCGTTGATGAATATGAAGATCCAGACGAATAAGACTGCCGTCGAGGTTGTCGGCGAGATGACGTGTTGCGGCGTACAGTGCTCGGAGACTTGCGCCGCATCCATGGATCCGCCCATTCGTCACCTCTACTCCTTTCAGTAGGAGGTGGTTCTTCCTCTCGCCAAGGTTTCGATGGAGGGATACGTTCTACAATAACTTCCCGCGATGGCCGCTTATGCTTCTTTTCATACTTCTCATAATAATCACGTTCTCTGTCGCGCTCACGATCTCGTTCTCTCTCGCGTTCACGGTGATGGGGTGGCGGAGAAACTGAATGCGCACCACGAGGAATCGCATGATAATCAAAACGCTCCCGATACTCACGTGACTCTTTGTAATGTACTCGCCTAGTTGTTAAAAAAAAAAAGATTAAAAATAGATTTGATTGCAAAATATTTCAGTAGGACTGAATATACAATATAGAAATAATTTTCTTTCTAGTTAGAGCTTGGCCATATACGACTGTTTCGTTGTCTCACCTATAATAGTCAGTTGACGCGGACGGAGTAGGATAGTATCCTTCGGGCTCGTCAACATATCTTTCCGGCGATAGTCTAGAAGATGATACTCGACGTGGTACTTCTCGTTGTGACCATCTTTCGACCGGTGGCTCAGGACTAGCAGCTCTTACGT